TCACTTGATATAACACTCTAAATTCAAATTATTTTCCTTCGTATTGACATTTATTTTATTATGTGATTGGTCACGCTATAAGTATGTAGTCTCTAGTTTATGACTGTTCAACTTCATTATTCTACTTGAGATAGGCTTATTGTTATCTAACCCTATACGCCTGGAAGGATATCTGTTTCATACGTCTTGGGAAAAGATGACTAAAATAAGATTGAGACATAGGAACTTGGGGGTTGACAGTGATGCTAAATGCCCAGCTACTCTGTATTGTGGAAATGAGAAATGTGCAGCACTGCTTTGGTTATTTTTCTCATTATGGCTGTAATGGCTGATAAACTTTGTTCTCATGAAAGAATGAATGAAGCGCATGCACAAATATTATTGCAAAGTCACTCATTTTCAACATCTAAGTAAAAGTCACTTGGTGTTGTATCAAGAAAATCTTTTCACATAGTCATTCTAATAATTCATTCAATTTTGTCTTTCTGTTATATTTCACATTTTGATTAACACAAAATGATTGTTTATTCTATGGGCTACACTTTAGCACTTCAACACCTACACACATCATAAACAAATCAACCAAAGAAAACAATAAGAATCTTGACTGCCACTGACAGTCAGGTGCTGAAGCTTTAGGAGTGAAGACATTAGTCAAATGAAAAAGGGTTTATGCATTTAGAACCTTGGGAAGCATTTATATGAAGGCAGCTGATGATTAAAAATTGCTGCTGAGGGCCCAGCGCAATAGCCTAGTGACTAAATCCTCGCCTTGCATATGTATCCCAGCAGACCCTCTTCCCAGGCAGCTCCCTGCTTGTGATCTGGGAAAACAGTCGAGGACGGCCCAAAGCCTTGGGACCCTGCACCTACATGGGAGACCCGGAAGAAGCTCCTGGCTCTTGGTTCCTGGCTTTGGATTGGCTCAGCTTCAGCTGTACGGACACTTGGGGAGTGACTCACCAGACAGAAGATCTTCCTCTCTGTCTCCCCTCTCTGTATATCTGATTTTCCAATAAAAATAATAAAAATAAATCTTAAAATAAATAGTTGCTGCTGAAGCAAATCAACAAGGATGCTAGAAACCAGGATTGCAGGGCGTCCTGGAAGTCAAAGTAGAACAGACAACTGCAAGCAGGGGAGGTATTTTTGAAGCCAAAATAATTCAGAGAATCCAGGACTAGAAAAAATGCTCCATTCCTCAGATGTTCTAAGAAAACAAATGAAGCCAAATGTCTCCTATACACAAACCCTGAATATTGGTATTTCCATGCTGTTGTAGAAAATCTGAGCTATAAGAACAACAGGCAATTTCCTCTGCCTCTACCTCCCTGTTTTGGAAGTCAGAAAAGTGTACACTCAGCTGGAATAGAATACAGCAACAGGCTAAAAGGAGAAAAGAAAGGCCAGTTTATTAATGCAGGTAGTACACAACACCTTGGCAGAACAGCAACTGAAGGCAGTGGTCAGGCAGCTGTCTTTAGTGGAACGCCTACGAAGAAAAACATATTGCAGAGAAGCAATGAGACAGAGGAAAGAACTGTCAGAATTTGGAGGTGGGAAAATAAAGTTGTGAGTCTGTTCTATCACACCACGAGCAAATGTGTTTCTGCCCTCTTTCTATTAATATGTGTGTCCTTCGCAATATCCTGCAGTGCCAGTGAGTAAACTAAACTGCGGTGTTTCACTGAAACCTTCAGGGCCCTTGCTCAAACCAAACCTCACCGAGTGCCGTAGGAATTCTGACGTACAGCTAGTATCAGAACCAAGGTCATGACCTGGGTCTCCCAATAAGCGTTTGAAGTTAAAAGCAATCCTGCACCACTGACCCCGCAATCGGCTAGATTTACAGGTAGACGCCATCAGAAGCAAATCACAAGATTCCAGCTGATGTCTGCTGAAGACGCTAGTGTGGGAGAGTGGGCAAAGGGTGTGTGTGTGTGTGTGTGTGTGTGTGTGTGTGTGCGCGCGCGCGCACGCTTCCCCAATCACTTCTAATCTCTTCCCTACTTTCTAAACAGTTTGTAAAGGGCAGTGATTACTTTTCTCATGGTAGTTTGGTTAAATTCACCTGCCAAGCTACCGGACTGTATCACCTTTTGTCATTTCATTTTGCAATTAATTGAATGACTGTGTAAATCATATCTGTAGATGGACTGTTGAGTGCTGATACATTTTTGCTCGTTTTAAGAAATCGACTTCTGTTAGGCTACCAATCTTCAATGCTCTGAGTATTTTCTTTAAATCCCTGTTTTTATTTATTTTTCAATTTTTACACAAAAGGCATAACAGGCAGAGACAGAGATCTTCATTTTCTGGTTCTTCAGTCAGGGCTGAGCCCGGTCATAATAACAAGGACTCCAGAATCCAACTGGGCTGCCAGGTGAGCGGCAGGGACTGAATAATTTGAGCCTACATCTGCCGCTTCTGCACTATGCACTAGCACAATGGCGGCATCTGGGCTGGACCCCGGCCCTCCGATGCGGGAAGCACAGGAGCTGCTTCCTCCGCCTGCTGCACCGCCCCACCCACCCACACTACTGCTTAATTAGGACTGCTTCTGTCTCATCACTACAAAGTTTTCCCTACTTTATCAGCATTATCAAATAACAACTTGATGGTCTTTTTTTTTTATTTGCCTACCATTTTCCGCCTTAACTAATGTCTGTCCTTTTCATTCATTCCGCACATCTAGTTCCCTTAAGTGTGTTTTGTTTCTTTACTCCCTATTTTCTTGACTGGAGCACTGATTGGCTTGTTTTTTTCTTAAATTAAGCCAATACAACCAGTAATTCTTTGTCTCCTCTTTCTGGTAAGTTTACAGTTCTGGTTTTGTTTCTTGTGTTCTGCGATTTCAGAAGAACAGACATACTGATTCAAGCTCATTTTAAATGCTTCTTCTCAGGGCTTGGCACGCCCCTCCGGCTGGAGAAGCTGTTTCTCGGTGATTACCTCTTTGCTGCTGCATTCCTCCTCCGTCTCCTCCATTTTAGTAGAGTGGGATGATAGACTTTTAATTTGCAAAACCATTTTCAATGGGAAATTTTTTTCTCTATGTATTTTTTTTTTCCATTTTAAATGTCTTTGCCTTTCTTCCTCTCCTCTGAAAAGTTTTCCCATTTTCAACCTCTGTCTGCTAGGGCTCTTTGGGACGCCTGTCTAGAACCCAGTTCTGTGACAATGCTCTGGGTTCCTGTTCTACAGGGATGCTGGACTAGTCCACATCCGTTATTAGAGCAGCTAGCGGCTCAGCTGGCTTTCGAAGGCTGTGTCTCAGTGTAATTCTGTCTTGCAGGCTTGCAATGCCTTGTAAAGCTGACAGCTATGTTCAAACCCTACCTTCACACACAGGGAACCTCTCATCAGCACTGACATCAAGCAGCAAAGCTGGCCCGGCCCTGTACTAGCTCAGAGGACTTTCAGTATTGGCTTCTTTTGGAGTCCAAGCCTCCTCTGCCATGCAAATCAGGAGTGCTACGATTTCCATATTTAGTGTGCTGCAGTATTTCAATTCTACTTCTAGTATACTAAAAACATTCTTTTTCTTTTAAACATACTAAGTATTTTAAGTGATTTTGTTAAAAACATTTTATGTGTCACAGCTTTGTGGATTAGAAGAGCAAAGAACTAGCCTTATAAAAAAGATTAAGGGTCAACTGACAATGACAATAAAATAAGACTCTTAAGAAACTGTAAACTGAATATGTTTTCAAGGGGTTTTTTTCATATTAAGGCTACCACGGGTATTTGAAATAGACCTTTTGATGTCAAAGTTTTATTTTATTTTATTTTATTTTATTTTATTTTATTTTATTTTATTTTATTTTATTTTATTTTAGAATACTGGTTTGGGTAAGGAAACAAAGCCATTAAACACTAAGATTTCTTTTATTTTAAATGTGTATTTATTCATTAGTTATCTGAAAGGCAGAGACAGGAATAGAAATAGAGAGAGAGAAATGGTTCATATGCTTAAGTTCACTCCCCTTAATGCTGCTAATAGCTAGGGCTGGGACAGGAGCCAGGATGGCAACCTAGGCCTTCCACAGGAGAGCAGGAACCCAATAACTTGAGCTACCACCATGGCATCTCGTTGGAATGGGGCAGGGCTGGAGACAACAGCTAAGAAATCAATCCAAGTCTTCCATCTGAACTGCAAGAGCCCAGCTACTTGAGATGCTGCTAACTGCTCACCAGGCTAGGCTGAGCAAGGACTCAAATTCAGGTACTACAGTGGAAGTGAGCATCCTGAGAACCATTTGAACGACTACGTCAAATGCACACTCCGTAAACACCAGGATTTTCTAAAACGATCAAATGATACACAGCAGCGACTTGGTTCTGGAGCTGGCTCATGGTCTGTCCCATTCCATCAAATCCCACCTGCTAAGGAAAACCTGGTACCGCCAAGAGTAGTATCATACAAGACCTGCACATGGACACCCAACGCAAGCAGTCTTATAAATGCTTTCACATATGAAAGTCTAAGATATGCAAAAATAATGCAAGCCCGCTTGATGAATGGAGAATGTTTAAAACTCAATTCTAGGTAATCAGAGTGCAAACACGAACGCAACTGATGTGTGGGACATCTGGGAAAACTGACGAAAGACATCTAGCAACTCTGAGAAAGCAATATTCATTCATTCCAACAGTAATCAAGCCGCAACCAGGTCATAGGAAGTGATGTCTGTCTGCCAAAAGCCTGTTCTTTGGAGGACAAGAACTTACCCAAGTATTGGACTGCTGGCCAAGAATTTCAGACAAACAACTACGCGCACACATATTTTTATCTTGTTAGTTAAAATAGGACATTTTCTTTTGTTGTCTTGCTTTCCAAAAACTCACAGATACATTTTATGCTTAATTATCTTATATTTGCAAATTTCTCATTTATTGAATCCTGAATTCTTTACTCAGATATTATCTGTATTATAAAGTTGTTTCCTCAAATTATTCTTGAATTAGGATACTCAGCAAGTGGGTTTTGGATATTTTACCTGGTAGTTAAGACAGTGCTTCCAGCTCCTGCAGTTCACAGCGATGTAGCAAGGCTTGAGTTCCGGCTGCACTCTGGATTCCAGCTGTGAAGGCAGACCCTGCAAGGAAAGAGGCAATGACTCAAGTAGGAAGAGTTCCTGAAACCCAGAGGGCAGTCAGATGGGGTTCTCAGATCCAAGCTCTGGCCTGCTCATGCCTCAGATAGTGGGCATCTAGGCAGGAAAGTGATAGATGGATGATCTCTCTCTCTCTCTCTCTCTTTCTCCTCTTCTCAGATAAGTGATATAAATGTGTAAATTTTAATATAGTGACAAGTAGATTATTGAACAATGAAATCAATAGTATTTCAGCTAGGCAAGGAGAAAGAGCAGAATCAGTTTAACATCGAGTCTTGAGAAGTCCTGACCAGCCTCACCTCTCACACACAAGAAATTGCCAAATGCATTTTATTTGTATTTTCATGCTATTTCATGTACGTGAATGACTGTCCCATTTCCTTTCTGATGACTCTCCAAATGGAATTTTACGTCTGGTTAGAAATAACACAATTTAAGAAAGATGTGAATACACTGGAGAGGTTACACTGGAAACTATTGTAAATGATCAGGAATCTGAAAACCATAGTCTGTAGAGGGAAATGGAAAGAAAAACTAGACTCATTAGCAAAGAGGGCAGCAGAGAGAGGTTAAGATGAAATGAGGCAATTAGAGGGAAATAATTTTTATCATAGCAAAGCCAAGACTGGACTTTTTGAAGGATTCATTAATTATTTCACTTAAATGTCAAGAATACTTAGACAGGAATGCTTAGAAAATTTTTAAAACATTTTTAATAAATCACCTTTTCTCTCAATACTGCTCTCAATACGCAGCTTGCCATAAAGAAAGTTTGGCCAGTTTTTTGGCTCTGACAGCAGTGGGAGTCTAGTCTCTGAAAACGGTCCTAGGCACCTCCTTGTGAGGGTACCAAATTATTGACTCCGGAACTTCTGCCAACCATCTTTGAATAAAACAGGGGATAAAAATGTTCCATTCTTCCTAGAAGTCCTCAACAGATGAACATTTCAGTTGAAGTCAGTGTGGAAGCGGCAGTGGAAAGGGGTCTCCGGATGAGGCAGAAAGCAGGAGTTCAAACCTCAGCTCTTTTTCTAGTCGTCCACTCTCCTAATGCGTCTTTCAACTCTAAGATGAGTTGGAAATGGAAGAAAATCTCTCATTTTATTTTTCAAGTAAATAAGCACCTCTTCTAAGTTTTGAGATTGCTGGGGTCAAGAACAAATGAATAATAAAGAGTAGGATCCCTCCACTACTACAACCATGTTCATCAGTAAGTTGTTGCCTATGCATGCTCGGGGGACTTTCAATCTCCACTCCGTTCTCCTTCCTGAGCTGTGGGATGGGGGCTTCCCTGGGTCCTTGACAAGAAGTGAAGGAGAGAAATGATCCAGAATCATGTTGATTACCTCTGATCCTAGACCAGCTCTAAGTGGCTGCCACCTTCACCTTAGCCCCTTTCCTCACTGAGAGCTTTTGTTTATCTGTCACGGAACAATGTCTCTTCAATAGTCACACAGCTACTCTGACTGCACTTATTATTCAAAACTAACCGAATGCAATCATGCCAAGCCTAGTGCTTTCAACTCTAGCTCCTTCTCAGCTCTGGCACAACTAGGGTGCTTCATGGTGTGGAAAATCCTTCCCCACCCTGACCCCTGTTCACACGTTCTCCATTCATCTGATGACACGAAACCACTTGACTCATAAAGAGGCGTTAGAGAAACAGAGGTTAAACCACGGGCACCAAAATTGCTTGTGAGTCTATGAGTGTGGAAAAAGTGGGAGAATCCACAAGCATGTGGCTTTTAACCATGTGCCTCAAGGGCTGCAACAAGCGCTGCTGTTTGTAAGAATCTGAATACCTCCTCCCACACCCCTGCCCTGCCCTTTCCCGTGGAAAGAGAAGGGTCTGTTTCTTACAAAGTATCCTCCTTTGTCAAGTTTGTAGGTTGGGAAGTGATAATCAACACCTTTCAACTTTCTTCTCCTTTCTGTTAATTCCGAGAAGTCCTGAAAATCTTTTAAAAAGTGCCCTGTGTTGCTCATCTTGCCCCACTTCCATCATCTAGTGCCCAAGCAGAGGCCGATGTGCCCACAGCAAGTGCTTTACCGAATGCTATTTACCAAGAAGCGCACTGGGCACTTTAGCCATATTAACACATTTAATGTATAAAAAAGTCTCATGACACAGACACCTATATCTCTTAAACACATAAGGAAATCAAATATATGGAGATCAAAAAACTTTTCCAAGGGCTTAGATCTTCCACACAGGGGACCTGGAATTTGAACTTGTGTAGTCTAGCTCTGAAGTTTGATGTTTAATCATCTTTTTCTTTTAGGAAAATAGATGTTGCCACAGTAACGGCATCAAGACATAGAAAGCTTTTGACAGACCACGAAGTCAGCTTCATATGAGAACAGGCCAGGGACAAACAGGTTCAGAATAAAAATGACCTATGTCCTTATTTGTGTTTTTGGAGCACCTCTAGAGCTTCTATTCAAACAGGCCCTCACTGGAGAAGCTTTAAATACATGAACTCGTGATCCCCTAGACATTACTGGGTGCAAACCTTTCAACTAGCTTTCAGGGCTGCAGCAAGCAGAGAGGGGAAGCAGACTACTGCTCCTGGCATTCCACCCCGTGTCATGGTGGCTCTGAGACACACAGGTGCAGTGAGCTGACTCAGCCAGGCAGTCCTGTGTCAACTGGCTGCACGTATGTCACTCATGGGCTGTTGTGGAAGGCGTCTCAGCACGGTTTAACTGTGAACAGTCCCGAGCAGTAGAACATATTAGGGTGTACTTTACTGACAGTGAAACAGGCCCAGGAAATTCAGTGGGTCTTCTCTCTCTCACCCACCTCCTTTTTCCCCTTCCCTTTCTGATTTTAAACAAAGAGGTCACTGCTGTACATTTTCATAACTCTTAGTTTACTCCAATTCAAAATCCTTTTAAGAGCACTGACAATGCACCTGGTAACTTCACCAACTGTCAAACGCAGTAAGTTGATATGTTTTTCATCATTCTAGGGGTTATGTACAGTGATCCTTAAATTTCACTGATCTGTAACTGTAAGAATGTTGATTAGCCTAGATATTCAGTAGAATTACACAAAAATCACTGTTAAGTTTCAGCTTCACACTTCAGTTTGGCTTGCAGTGGCTGAAGGTCTTTCTCTGTGGGGGATCTCAAAGGCGAGGTACCACGAACGGACAATCATCTTGTTCTTCTGTAACTCATCATCAATTTGCAGATCTGTGGATGTATGACTACAATCAGAGTATTTCCTGCCATGTATTTGTGTAGGACTGTTAACATGAGTCACATGGTTAAAACTTCAAAATTTTCTGACTTAATACACAGAGAAAGAATAGACCTGCTCTGTCTCTGGGGGCTGGGTCTCGTGTCATCAGACAGCTGCTCAGAGTGATGAAATGCTGAGTGTGAGAGTGACATACGGAGTCGGGGAGGTGGGTGGAGTGGACAGCTACCCACTGTCTATCAGTTTAGCACTCGTGTGACATTTTTTTATTTTCCACTTTTAACCTCAGAAAATCAATATCCCTGGCTGTGGAAAGGTGGGAGAACTCAAAGATGAAGGGAGGCATACAGAAAGATTTTCCTCAAGGAAAAAAAAAGGGAGACAGTATGTGTGTGCGATTTTATTTTACAATAACATAAAATAAATGAATATGCTAGGATTACTGCATGAATTGCCTGGGGCTGCCATGAACAAAATCCCACATCCTGGGTGGCTCACACAACAGAAATCCATTGTGTCATGGCTTCAGAGGCTGCAAGTACAAAGTCAAGGTGTCGTCAGGGTTGGCTCCTTGGCAGGCTTTAAGAAAAAGATCTGTTCTCTGCTTCTCTCCCCGTTTCAGGTGGCACTGAGAGTCCCTGACTTGTACATGGCCTCCCTGCCATATCTTTACACTCTCTTCTCTCTCTGTATGTCTGCCTCATGTCCCTATTTCTCATTTGCATAAGGACACAGTCTTACTAGATTAAGGTCCACCCAAGAGAGTTCCTTCTAACTCAACCGCTCCTTTAAACTCCCCAGTCACATATGAGATCACATTCCAGGGTACAAGGCACCTGAACATATGGTCTTTCTCTGTGAACATAAAGGCAATTCCTTTAGCAATAGGTAACTCAGAGCAATCACAAAGGACACAAACTGACATGCAGATTGATAAGTAATCCTAATAGATTAACATTCTTCAAATAAAACCTTCGTGGTTCTTCCTAGTCTTACACCCTCTGTCCTTAGGCTAACTTATGCCTGCCTTGAATAAAGAGGGTGTTTGAACATAATCTTCCACCTCCTGAGGCTCTGAACACATTTTCAGATAGAGGCATGGATCTGCATCCATTCCAAGGAAACCCTGCGGTAAGAACTCCAAGTCACAGTACCGAATCTGTCATTAATAAAGCTGGTTCTTCAAGCCACTTTGATTTCATTTTCTGAGTCCCCATTTTCTGATCTTTCATGTGGCGTTAGTGGACTTCCCTAACTATCTGACTAAAGTAGATAAAACAAACATAGGAATTTTAGCAGGATTTGTTTTATCCCACATGGGAAATGTCCTGGCGCATCATGGACAATGAATATTAACTGAGTTCATCAATGAATGAACTGTCTTGCTAAGCATATCCAGCTCATATTATGAACCACAATGTTTACAGCTGGCAGTGCTCCACAGAGCAAAAACCTTGTGTGAAAGAGAAAAAAGAATGAAATAGGAGTCAGAAGAAAAGGTGTCTGGTCTCACCACTGTCATCTTAAAATCTGGACTATTGGTAACTATAAAGTAGAGAATTACTTTCAAAGCCCTTTTTTATTTCAATTAGAAGCCCAATCTTTTTTCTGACATACACTGTAGTGTTTATGTGTGAGCCTAAGTCCTATGTAGAACAGCTAAGCTCTCTGATACACACTTTACCTGCTGTTTATAGTCAGGTTTTCTTGGAATTCCTACTCAATTTGAACTCTCTTTTGTACACGAACTGAACTTGAGCCACACCCTTGAGAACCA